TGTGGACCATTACCTTGCCCGGACTGTTTCAAATGATCACTGAGCCCTCATTTCAAGTGGTTGGCACGTAATCGTTATGCGGTAGAACAGGTCACCGCTCGCCATTCTCCTGCCCATAAATGATATAACTCAGGACCTAATAACGCAAAATTTCTCTTGAAAGTTACAAGTCAAATGTAGGCGCGGCGAATGCCTTTTTATTTTCCGTTACATTTTCTTGTGTTGGCTCTCCTAGGCCAGGAGGTTGCTCTAACTCCACATTCCCTGATGCGAATGCGTTTATGACTGATTGTCTTATCTGAACAGTCACAATTCGAAAGAAAAAAATATAAAGGATGTTCGCCAACGTGATTGCGTCAGGGGGCAGTCTGTATATTCTTCGTCCAAAAACTCACCGGGCCTAGCGTTCGCTTGCTACTGAGTACTGTGTTTCATGTTCTGGCTAACTGTGGGGAAGGTGCAGCTGACAAAGTGACTTAGTGCTAGGATTTCTATCTTCTCCTTCCCAGTTTCCACCATTTCCTGCTTGGTTGTTGAGGGACATAGCGATTCACGAACGGATGGACTACGGCAGTATTCACAAAATGAATTTCCTCCACTTTTAGGAAGTACACTCTAAGTGAAAACTGAAAACTCAAAAATAAGACGAACGATGCATTTAGCGTTTGATCCCATTCTCACATTCACTGCAGTTTTCAGATAACACAATATCTACAATGGACTCCGCTAATCTCATAGTAAACTGTTTCGGAAGCATAATATTTGCAACATGAAACTTTCAATTATCTAATTGTTTGGATTGAATACAACGAATGTCGTAGTTATTCACTTAAAACCCTTACCATCAACATATGCAAAAGAAATAACACGTCAAGAATGTTGACAAAAAGCTTTTCCAATGTCAATGATTCCAAGTGAATCACAATTTATATCTTGCATTCTGAAAGTAAATGTGACAGACAAGTGATTGTATTTGGTTAACATCTAGACTCACTCGAAAACTAGGCACGACTTTTGAAGGGTTCTGAGCAGTGGCGCGGCTTCTGGCCATCGATAAATACGGCGATAGCCGAGAAAAATAATAAAAATATTGCCTTTTACATATTTTAGAGAATAATCGAATAATTAATCAATATGTAAGCACATTGAAACTATATTAGTTACGCAACAGCAAATAAATAGTCATAAAACAATAGAAAGATCGCAAATGAGTCGCTAATATTAGCGCAACGCTCTCGGTGACTCGAGCGATCGCTGCGAACAGCGCCCCTACTCATCCCTGCATTCGGAGAATCTCGGCTGAATCGCAGGGGGGGAGGGGCGGTTCCCAACATACCTGGCAAAACATGCCATTCGAACTCTCAGTATGAACTTTGAAGTGGAACGGTGCGGTGTTATTAGTGCACCCTGACTCATAAGCGCGTTTACTGAATTTTGGTTGAGTTGGTGCGCCACAGAAGTTCCTCCGCACTGAGGTAAGTCTAGATCTCCCACGAAAAATTATTATTATTATTATTATTATTATTATTATTATTATTATTATTTGGTAGCAATCAGATCACTGGGAAACAAGTGAAAGGTTAGCTTGCGGTATATTGTCTAGAGGTGGTCGGAATATTTTGTGAATGATTTTGTGTCTTGTGAGAGGTTGCGTGCATGCTTTTAGACACAAGGCAAAGACAGTGCAACAATCTACTGGTTATTATGTTAACTACAGAAGAGAGAGAACGTTTTTGGTGGAACATTTTTTCGAAAGGATTGTCGAAAACGGGAAACGCAAAATTATAATGTCGAGCTCGTTTTCCTAATTCTTAGTGTTCAAATCGCGATACTCTTTGTAACGTTTCGTGTGATCGGCTCAGTTCACAAGGAACTACAATTTTATCGGACGAAAAACTTGAAGCAATTTTTGACATACGAAATATCCTACGCAATTATCTCGCACATGAAACCAGAATCTCTAAGTGTACAACGCATAAAGTTTTTATTTGGGAAGCTTTAGGGTATAAATACATGAATTACGTTATTACAACAGATGAATGTTTAATAATGAATAACTTTACTTTCTTACTTGATTGTCCAGTTGTTAATATCAATCTATAGTATTAAATCTTCAAAAGGAAGAATGGGGCTTCCTTCATCATACAAAATTCTACGAATTTTTATTGGTTTTTTGCAAATATTAGAATGATTAATTCTCTGACATTAATCATCTTTAATGTTCATTTACGCACTGTTCGTAGAACGCAAGAAGAGTTGTACTTTCGTTTCACTTAAGATCGTAAGGGAACTTCCTGGCCCCCCCAAGCAGCATAACATATCGCTTGTTGACGTTCATAAATTTCCCCTTGAACATTCACAAACATCCCATGCTTTCGGTTCGGTCCATTCTCGCTAATCACGGTTCATGAACTGCAATGAGGCCGCCGGATGTTGTGACTCGTCAAAAATCTTCCAAACGCGTACGAGAAAAATTCCCCTCCGCTTCTCCTAGCGCTCACTTCCTCCAACGGGCGCGTGTTTTCCCCCTCCCTTCGAATGCATCTCCGCCGCTGCGTGGCCCGCGTCGCGTTCACCACCCGCGTCACTGCTTCGGCACCATAGACGCTACCTGCTCAAGGCGTCTGCAAGTGACATCAAATTCGATGACCTGAGTCACAGAAGTAAATGTTAGACAGCCGAGTACGTCTCGATTCAAAGTAGGTACTTGAATGGTGAACCGGCTGCTTGACTCTCCAGCGACGGTCGTTTTGTCGCGTCGTCGGCTTGTCGTCTACGAACTCTCTTCGACGCGGCGAGCGCCTATGTCCCGCGCGTGCGCAGACCGTCCGCCCCTTCCCACCCCCCGCCCCCGCCTGCCCTCGCGCCCAGGCGGTCTCAGGCGGCCGCTCCTTTGAATGATGAGGCGTCGGGCGTCTCTACCCTGCGTTCGAGCCCCGGCTGGCATGTGCGGCGGCCTGCTGGCAAGGCTTAACCCTCACGTCGCGGTCGCAATCGCGCGGGAGGTGGTTTGCCGCCTGCCGCCGCCACCGCCGCCGACACGCCGCGGCCGTCGTCCTCGCGCCATTCCGCTCTTTTACGTGCAGCGCCTCGTTGTCTTCGGCTGCCCACCTCCATTCGATTCGGCTGGCTGGCGGGCAGGCGGGCAACTGCGGCGTTCAAGCGTATGTAGTACAGCGCCGGGTGCGAGGAATGCGGAAAGCCCGAGGGACGGGCGAAAGCGAAGGAATCTTTTTCTTTTGCGTACGAATTCGACCTGGGAAGCCAGGCACTTGCGGACTCGCGATTGTCTGGTTTCCGCCGTTTTCTAGACGCCTCAACTAGTCCTCTAATAAATTCCTAATCCCAGATCGCCTCAGCTATGTCCTCTAATAAATCCTGATCCTCAGACCTGTACAACTAGTCTTAAACTATATTCTTCAGAGGTGTAGCTGTCTTGACAGGTTCGAGTTTCCCAGAGCGCGAAGTAGCCGACATGCTGCTTATATTATATTTAGAGGCGCGTTGCTCTTTCTCTGGGTTTGCAAAGGAACCAGACATAACGTCCTACCAATTCCGAAGGAACTCAAAAACTAGTTAGTTGGTTCTGTCTATTATCGCTCCTCTCTGATTATAGAGAAACAGGCCTTCGAGACCTAGCCAGTTTGGATCGTGTCCCGTCGGTTTTCCTTCTGTTTGCTGAGCGTGTGTAAATGTGTGGGTCTTCCGAAGAAAGGAATTACGTGGAAAATATGAACGTATGTGCACGATTCTCTTTGTCAGATTTCCGAGATACGAGGCTTTCTATTGATGGCTAAATTCGCCTCAGAGCAAGGTCCTAGGGCTTCATGAGGTCAGCCCATCATCCTTGTCTTCGACAAACCTTTGATTGCGGCTGCGAACTGTTACGGGTACAAACGTTGTGTCTCTGAGAAGGAATGTGTGCTGGAGGAGCGTCGATTTTCCATTGTACATAGACATAAGCTAAAAATTAGAAAAATAAAGACTACACTAACTACTTATTTCGTCGGCTGTTTGTGGGATAAAAGAAGTCCTAATAATCTCTAATAAATTCCTTATGCAGGGGAAACCGCCGGGTTGCTCGGATTGTTTGATTTGGATTCCGGGACACGTCACGCTAAGGTATAATCGTAAGTGTATTAAGGTTTTCCCTCTTTAGGGTAGCGGTGCGTGTTTCCCCGCTGGAGGCAATGTTCCGATGCGACCTACCGTCGACTAAACGGGGTTTTCTCAAACTTGTATTTCCACCGCAGGGCCCGCTCAGTCAGTGAGACAAGCTCTATAGCTCCTCCCCGTTCTCCCGGGGTGCGCCCATGGCTCGGTACTGCTTGTTATTGTAAGTGTTGTAAATAAGAGGTTGAAAATAACCAGGGTAGGAGAAGTAAAAGGTCTGTGCGCTTCCTTGGCGTTTGTTGCGGTATCGCTCGCATTCGCTTGTTATCGCGAAACAACCGGAGTTGTGGCAGCGGCCGCGACTAGATTCTGCCCAGAGACAGAATTCGACTAGTTGCAAGTTAGTGTCAATTCCTTGCCACACGGACTCAAAGTTGAGACCTCCCAGTGAACCAAGTGTTGATGCGCTGAGCCACTCTCCGTTGGAGTCTGCGTGGGAAGGCCGCGCCCAGAACGCGTGCGGCTGGTTGGGCGCGGGCAGTGCGCGCGTGTGTCGCCTCGGCAGCACGCGGGCCTGAGAGGCCGACACCGCATGCTGCGCGATCGTCGCCACATTTGATGAGCGCCTCTCACAGCATGAGTTTCCTAGCACGCAATTGCGGGCAGTTGCGCCGCGTTTCGAAGGACAAGCGGCGCGAGCAGTAAGACGCGGGCTGCTTATCACAGTGCGGCCCGCGTCTCGCGGGTCGGTGCGGTGGCGGGCGGCGGGCGGGGTGGCGTCGGGGGCGTTTTGGGAGGCGCGGACGAATTCAGAGTCGTTGAAGGCCATACTGCCCGGCCGCTGCCGGCCCCGACCCGGTCCCCTCCCGCGTCCCTCGATCGTTACGATGTCGGTAGGGATGCGTTGCTTGACAGTGCTCTTCTTCGGACCGTTTTCTGAGGGTTTTGTGGCGGAGTTGTCTTGTATTGTTATTGCTGTAGCTGAGGAATGCTTGCTAGTGTGTTCTTCAGTTCATGCTCGACATTCATACGTCAACGAGTATTCCTTATCTCGTCGGGTAAGTGAATGTGTAATACTAGCGCAAAGCATTGTATGAAAAATACGTGTCATCAATCGACTAAGCTAGTTTGAATATTTAAAGAGTAATGTTCACCTGTGATCGTTTGTGTCCGTACTTCTGAAGGTGACTCTTGCGACTCTTGTTCATAATCTTTGCAGTGCAGATCATTGTGACAGAGCGCCGATAGGGAACTTCCTTTCCAGGATGCTCATTTTGTACAGTTGCGGTTACGCGGCACGAAAATCTAGCGTTGTTCCTATCGACTAATGATGCGTGAGGGTGCGCAGACGTATGAAGGGCGTTAGCGAAGCACACCGGCAAGTGCTACTATTTGTTACTATTGTTGTGAATTAACCAGGTAAACGAATGTTAACAAAACTCATGTTTTACGTATTGAATATTACAAATAAGTAAGAAATAACCTTACGATTAAAAGAGTGTATCTTTTTAGAAGGGAGACCAAACTACAGTCATTGCTAACTACCCAAAGAAATTAATTCAATGCTTTAAATAATTCGGATAGCGGTCAGAGGGTCGTCAACGAAGCGTGAAAATTCACATTCCTTATTCATAATTATCGAACAACATCCTTGAACGTGTACGTAAATAAAGTGGACGTCGCGACTTTCTTTAAAGAAACAAGGCTATAGACTTAACTGCCACTTCAATCTAGTAGACACATGGAGCAAAAAAATGAAGAGTAATCGTTTCAAACGTAACACGAGGAATAGCTCGTACAAGAGTAGCAATACGCTTACAAATTAATATAGGGACTACGAGCTTCGAGGAAAACGAGCGAAGTCTTAAAGAAACAGTTCAACAAGCATATTAACATGTACATGGCGCGTTACAGTGAGTAACAATTGACGGGACATTTTGTTCGAATTGTCCAAACGGACGGGGCGGACTTGAGATCTTTTGTATATTACTAACTTTGAAGTTACAGATAATGTGTTGTCTTGTTTCCGAAAAACTCTCGTTTTGAACTTTAACACTACCATAGCATGCTTATCCATGCAAAGATCATCACTAAAAACCTTGCAGATAAGATAGACAAAAGATTCTATTTTTTCTAAATCTCTCTCTTTT